TGTTAGTGAGGTGGGCTTGTTTCCATGCTGTTGCGGTTCAAAACGTGATAAGGAGGTATATATATTATTGTGTTATTGAAATTACTCAGTACAAAGAACATATAAGTCCTTAAGAAGTATAAATATGTAAACGGATTTTTTTTTATACAACTTAGATTGGCAAACAAGCTGACGGCCTACCTGATGGAAAGTGGTAACCGTCGCCTATAGACATGAGCAGTACCATGGACATAACAGAGTATACTGTTACGCCCATGATACCCCCCATGCGTTGCCATTCCTGAAGACTCAGGTGTTATTCCTCTGTACCCAGTAAATTCACGCCATATCCCACCCTTCAAACCGAAACACAGCCATGCAAACACAACTGCTTCACGGTTGAAACACGAATGGGACAAAGGTACCCAAGCAATCGACTTTTGTAGAAAGTGTGTAAAGAATATCTTACGGATAAATAAATCGTATTAAACAAATAAATATTTAATTTTCATCAACAATCTATATTTACATGCAAATTCTAACTCTACAATACAGTATATATATATATATATATATATATATATATATATATATATATATATATATATATATATATATTATATACATTGCTAATTCGATAGAATATAAATTTATTACGATTGTTGGCGCTAGTATTTTACATATATACAATAAAATTTCAAACCATAAATTATATATATTTTTATGTTCATCAATATCATATATAATATCAATAATCATCTGCTCTCGATTATTTGGTTTGGTTTATTGTGGAAACTTCACTGATTTATGTTCTGGTTGTGTATAGTATTTTATATGTCTTAGATATTGTATGTTTCCCTTTCAAAGTAAAATTAAAAAAAAAAATTAAAAAAAATTTCGCCTATACACATTGTGATTTCATTCGTAGACGTATAAATAAATGTTCCCAAATACCTATCATTTTGTACAAATAAATTTCGTTTATAACAAGAACCGTTTACATAGTGTAATGAACAGAGACTCGTTAAAGCAATTTTAATTGAAGCCAAACCTTCAATTGACTTTGATCCGTTGTCTTATTTATCCCTTCATTTCAAATTTATTGATTGTTCCCACAGGACAATTCCTTTCCTAAAAGCTCAGTAACTTTGTCAAGTTTGCAACGTTATGTTAAAGCGATGTAACTTATATAACATTGATCCATAGACTAAGGATGATACTGCAGTATCATCCTTAGTCTATGGATCCTTAGCCTCTTACATTATGGTACATAAAAAAAGATAAATAGATACACACACAGTGCTATCAAGGTCTAAACTCAGTAAACCTTGTATAAATGTATAGCATAAATGTATTATATTAATAATTGTACTAAAAAACTAGCTAAAAAATATTTTTTAACAAGTTACTCTAACTAACAAATCTAACGTATCTACATACACAAAATTAATTCGATACTTCCAAACGCGTTGCTTCTTTCTTTGAAGTGACAACTTCTTTAGGCGGGTTGGGCATTTTTTGAGATGGAAAAAATAATTGAGCTCGCAACACTGTCACTGGTGAAAATTAAATAGTAACTCCATCTACGCTATCGATATACGCTGGCGAAACACCAGCGAAGGTTGATAGGTGAAGATGAAAGCAGGCCAGTTAGCCATTGTAACAAATTCGGCAAGAATTAACCGCGACGGTTTTCAGGGGCGAACCGCGTGAAAGTCGACCTGACAGGGTATATTGCTAGCAATGGAGCTGTGTAGATCCCATTATGAACAACTTTTTTCCCCCAACATATCGCGTCGTAACATATTACTACACATAAAATACACATAAAAACTTTTTTCTCATTTTTATTAGACTTAAGAGACGGACCACCATTTGAATCGATGGGAAGTGACGGTAAGCGCGTAGATGTAGATCGCCGGCCTATAAATAGCCCATTCATTTCTGCTTTGAATAGGTTCAGGAAAAGCAGATAAAATATTAGTGTCACATCTATCACATCCAATGGAGTGAATCGAAATCGAAACCACACGCGTGACCACACATCGCTCTCTGCAATTACAGAAATCTGCGTCGTGCAAACGGATTAAATGCACCAAATGCATTCATAGATTCACACGTATTAGTGCATTGGAATCCTAATTCCCTTCTTTACCGTTTTTAACGTTTTTACTACGATAGATAGATAGATAATCTTTATTGTTTTCTCCAAAAGATTACAATAGTAACTTATTATAAATATAAATAATTACAAGAAATAATCACAATGAGAAAACAATGGGCGACCTTATCGCTAAGAGCGATCTCTTTCAAGCAACCTTTGGATGGAGAGGAGTAATTATAAACAATTTGGTGGGAGGCACGATTCTGATTCGGAAAAATTCTGTTAGTTCTAAATATGGGAGATGTGATACATATAAGAATATAAACATTATCCCTAAATATATATATATATATATATATATATATATATATATATATATATATATATATATATATATATATATATATATATATATATATTAATGTATATAACTACCTATTTAACTTATATTTTAATGTAATAACGTGTAATTATATCGAGAAAACGCGACGAATTTCGGTATCAATAAAAGCCGCTCATGAATAAGGATCACGAATTGATCCCGAAAGTAGTCGAACTTTCTCAATCAAACAAGTTAGTTAAAGCGGCAGTTATTAAATTAAAATTTTTATGCTGATACGAATCCTACTTCCAAAATGCACGCGTACAAACAGCGGGCAAGCGCTAGTCTTAAAAAATCCCATAACTAAGTACACATAAAAACAAAAACCTTCCACGAATTCTTAAAATAGAAAATAATACTTCCATTTTCCTCTTTTTACCTAAGCAATCTAAATATAACGGTGTGTACAGTCCCGAAAAATATTATATCCAAAAGACCCGTATAGATCATCGACACACTTTGTTAAGTGTTATTCATCATATCAGCCTTTAACTGTCCACTGCTGGACATAAGTCTCCAAAGACATAATTAAGCTAATATTAATATTTCCTTTAAGTAGACATATATATAAAATAGGATAAACAAATACCATTCAAGTCACATTTCTCCTTAAATTAATTGTTTTAATGAATTATATGTTAATAAACAGGTCCTAAACATACATACATAACAATGAATATGATTTATTAAACTCAAACAATTTGTCCTTATTTTTTTAGGAAATTCGTCGCAACATCACATAAATTAAATTTAATATTAAAATAAACAATTTAATACAAATATACATTAACTTATCAATGAAGATGTACATTTTAATGAACCTGTTCAATTTTAAATTTCATTGTCTCAATTTACATAAAATTATCTTGAAAGACCACATAAACTTTTTATTGGCGGATGTTTATTAGCGCGCAATTGTTGCGGCAGACTATTTGTTCTATTTCATTAATAACTAAGTAGAATATAAATTAATTAATATTGTATTCAAATGTGTCAATAAAATTAGAAATAAATATGTAATTTTATACTATAATTCTGTGCTGCACTTTAGTATTTTTTCTTGAACAAATTTCAATATTTCTTTCTTTCTTAATAATCATCCTAACCACTCTATTACGTATTTATTTAGTACCCTAAATATTTTGCACTAATACAACCACTTCTTTGTTTGTTTACTTTTTATTTATTTGTTTATTTAATATTTCTTTATTAATTATTTTATTTTTATTTATTTGTTTATTTTATTTATTTAATTATTTTTTATTTATTCATTTAGTATACAACTAGTTGACATCCCTATAACTTAAGACAAGTATTATTAACTCACACCAAACACTCAAACACCATCTCACACAGTAAGCGATTTCCTTAGCTATTTATATCTCCAATTACTTGTCATTCCAATAACTCGCACACAAATATATTAATTAACATTAAAAATTCATTAATCATAATTATATTATACGAGTAAAAGTTTAGTACCCAAATAAAATTATCACTCCAATGCCACAAAATACTTTGTATTACTATCACTCCAATCATTTACTACTGTCACTATGTAACAACTCATCATTCCAATTTATTAATACATATTCCAAACATTCAACGTACTCAATATTTATTACACTATTAATTTGTGATATGTTTATAGGACGTTAAGCTATCAATTACCACTCCAAAACACAAAACTGCAATTAGATACTAAATCAACCAAATATGTATCTAATTTCTTATCTTATATTCGCGTATGGAGTCAGCTAAACCATTGCACGTCGATCCATAGGGATCTTTTGTGCTTCCCCCTACCTTATATAGATTCTATGTGTTACTTTAACGATATCCCGCAGATTAAGATATCCGTAGTCCCCTGGCTCAGGATAAGCCGTTCCCAGTAGCCTCATACGCATACTTGCCAACGAATCGCAGCTGCACATTAAATGTTCCAACTACCGCCACTAACTTAGGCATTATAATTTATTGACAAACACTCAAAACCATATCATTTAATACCTCGTTATTTTGGAGTCTTAAACAGTAATATGTGTGATTGGAGTGGTAATTTACGACCACCCTTGTCCTGTAATACTAAAATTAAAGGCAAGACTGACTCACTTAAAATCCAATCACACCACACCATAATAACACTTCACTCACCAATAAATTACTAATTAGTACTCCAATCATTTACTATTGCTAAATAAGTTTGCATTCCAATTATTGTCATCCCAAATATCTAATAATATTATTCTTGATTAAAAAGTACATAAAACAATATTTGTGATAGAGGTGGTAATTCTCCAATTACCACCCCAATCACAATATCACAATAACTTAACACCAAATTGAGCAACCCAATAATTTACTAATCACCACTCCAATAAAACAATATTTGTGATTGTCAATATTGAGGTGGTAATTTTCCAATTACCACGCCAATCACAATATCACAATAACTTAACACCAAATTGAACAACCCAATAATTCACTAATCACCACTCCAGAAATATACTTCCACCACTATTATCAACTACATACCTGGTGAATAAAGCAGCGAAGAACCATACAAGTGCACAGATGAGGGCGGCTCTTGTCTTAGTGCAAACGTAACCAGCTCTCAGTGGCTCGCAGATCGCGTAGTACCGTTCGAAGCTGATCGCCAAGATGGTGAGGACAGATGCGTGGGTGACTGTGAGCTCGACGAAAGGCACCGCTAAACCTGGGGGAAGGTAATTCACTTTGTAATTTTAAATTGTTCATATCTAAAATGGCAAATAAAGTAATGAGCGAGTTTTGACTGTTTTCGGTTTGAAAGGTGGGCATATGGCATATGGCAGTGAATTTACAGGGTATAGAGGAACAACACCTGAGTCCTCAGGGATGGCGACGCATGTGGGGTATCATGGGCGAAACAGTATACTCTGTTGTGTCCATGGTACTGCTCATGTCTATAGGCGACGGTTACCACTTTCCATCAGGTGGGCCGTCAGCTTGTTTGCCATTCTAAGTTGTATAAAAAAAAATTTACCAATAGTTGTACAAACGTCGAACTACTGAACTCGATCTAGATTTTTGTCTGATGTACATTTTATTATTCATACGTGATAAACGTATCTACGTCACATGCTAAAAATATTTACCTTTGAAATCCGACTATCGGATGTGGATTAATAGGGCTACGAATGGCCAGAAATATCAGTTATTCGAAGGGACCGAGTATCCGTGTAGAAATCCTTCCTGTTCTCAGAAGTTTAATACATGACAAAAGATATGTATGCTCCAGTTAAAAATTTAAATAATCATAGTTACGCACTAAGAAATAAAACTAATATTTCCACGAACACGACTTACAAAACTTATAAAATAAGATCATCTTCATGATCATATCAGCCGTTGACTGTCCACTACTAAACATAGGCCTTCCCCTATTGGGGTGCTTTACAAGTAATTGCCACGCTTAGCAAGCGGATTGGCAACCACAGTTAGACTTGATGGTACAGCCCATCCCTAGATTATTAAGTTCCCTTAGTCACCTCTAACGACACCCACGAGAAAGAAAGGAGTGGTCCATTCTATCCGGAACCACACGCCAATTTATCTATACTTATAATAATCTGTAGAGAGGTCAATTCTGTACATGAAATATATTTCCAAAATAACTATCACGCGGTGATTAGTGATCGATACTGATGCCAAAAATGCAATCAGTAAAATTTTTGTCTGTCTATCTGTATGTTCGTTATAGAAACAAAAACTACTCGACGTATTTTAACGAAACTTGGTACAATTATTCTTCATACTCCTGGGCAGGTTATAGTATCCTTTTCATCACGCTACAATCAATAGGAGCAGAGCAGTGAAGGGAAATGTTGGGAAAACGGGAGAAGTTACTTCATTTTTAAGCTTCCGTCGCGTGTGCAACTTTAATGGCCACTTTTTAATATGTAAAAATGTCCACCCGTGCGAAACCGGCCGCTAGTATAAAATAAGGTGTTTAAAAATAAAAATGTAGTTGATACGTATATACGTAATGTAAATTACCCAAATACAAAAATACTAACTAATAAACAAGCCAATAAAACTACATCTTTTTATAACGTGACAGAATACCTAAATGCAAATTTTAGTAATAAAATAAAATTCAAGCATAAACTACGGTCTTTTTATTTAGAATCTCTAGGATCTAGTAATATGCTTTAGACGCATTTTTGCTTTGTCTGATACTAGTATTTCCCTTTATCTGAGAAGTTTTACGTCTCACACTATTTATTATTTAAATGTATTTAACATTTATTATATACTAGCGACTTCGCACGGGTGCACATTACATCACATCACATTTGAAACCTTTAAAATTATCTGTATTTCTCTATAATATTATGCTTGTATTATACATATATAAACCTTTCTCTTGAATCACTCTATCTATTAAAAAAAAAACAACTAAAAAAATAATCAATATCGATTAAAAATCTAATAATAACAATAATATCACGTACCTACAAAATATAGGTGAGTTAAGAACCTCCTTTTAAATGTTGCAAATAAATTTCACTACTTAATTTAAATTTCTTACCCTAATGGAAGGAAGGAGGGGGAGAGGGAGACCGAGACATAGTCACATCAGACAGGTCAAGGAAGGAGTTGGTGTCGTGTCGTATCAAGTGGTGAAGAGACTCGCTGATAATCGTAGCAAGTGGCAAGAGCTCCACCGACAAGAGTGCAGCTCTTAAATAGGATAGATAGATTCTAATGGAAGACAGGCGCGACAGATACATATATATGTATCTATGAATTTAAATTACAAAAAAAAAACAAAACCTACTGAGTATATTGAAACGCTGTACCAAACATTTCAGCCGGCGAACTTCCAAATAACATATAGATCGGTTGAACTAAATAAAAAACTACTTTATATTCAAATTGTTTGGGTTATAACTTGTTGTTTATCTGTGTGGGTGAAGGCTTTTAGTGGATAAGTATTTGCAATGAATTTGAAAGCATCTGCTATGTTGTTAAATATTGCGAAAATATTTTGCTACTTTATACATTATTTTTGATACAATATTTACGTTTTTTTTTTTTAATGCATAAAAATAAGATTTAAATGTTAGTACTTTATCTATAAGGCTTTAATCACATCAAAAGCGAAGCGCAGTTAAACCTATTTTAACATTAGGTATGCGTAAACCATATATGTTCTCTTATTCCAAAAGAAATACTATTAGTGCTTAGTATTTGTGTAACAAATAGTAATTCTTTATTGATTTCCAATCTCAATCCAATATATCAACAGATAGATCTTTTAGACCTCGGTCTTGGTTTTTCTTTATGAATTCAATCAATCATTTTTATCTTTTGAAAAAATTATGTGTATCAACTGCTTATTTGTATGGGGTAAATTAAATATCCACACAACTGCCTTTTTTATAGCCATATGTTATAGGAGGTATTTACCACAGAACAAAGTAAGTAGCGAGCAATTGAGAGATAGGGAAAATATATGTAAAACGAAACGTCGCTGCTTATTCGATTTCAAATCTAAAAGCGCATATTAGTGTGAAAACGCATGTATTCGCTGAAGATAGACAACTTGACGAATTTTACCGCATATAAATTATCTGTGGGAAATAGCAATAATGCGTTTTACGCTATTTCGCGCTTTCACCAATGTGACTCGATCCTAAACCGCAAAATAGAATTATCTAGTAAACAGTGAAACAAATTTTCATTGCTATTAACACATCAATATAATCTTTGAATAATATTTAAGAAGTCATAATAGTGACTAAATAAAACGGTAATGGTAATAAATAATAGTGTTGTAAAAAATAAAACACGGAAAACACAAATAGTATTATGGTCGCACAATTATTTAAAATCGTGTCACAGATCTTAAATTGAATCTATTCGGCCCACAGAGATGTCCCCTCGGTAAAACGGAAATAGGTACTTAGTAATAATTTTATACGATTCATTGGTAGGTATGTCTTAAAAATAATGTAAGAACTACAACAAATACATGATCCATAGATTGAAATCCTTAACAATAATATTGTAAATGTGAGATGTAAAGAAATGACTCCAGTACATGCACAGATTTATATGTAGTATAGATTAAGAATTACTGGCATACTCTCAAAAGCTTAAATCAAAATATATTCCTGATACTTAAGTGTTGTGCGACCCAGTAAATAACCAAAAAGTTAGGTAAAAAATGTTGACCTTTAACCAAACTAATAATAACAATAACGGCGCGCCTTTATAATCTATACAAATCTATTCTAATCCATCGTTTCTCAAACTGTGTTGTGCGGTCCAGTAAATAACCAAAAAGTTAGGTAAAAAATGTTGACCTTTAACCAAACTAATATAAGTTTTATATTATCAATACAAAATTATTTATTTTTATTTACAATGATAAATAAATCCAAAATTTGAAAACTTTTAAATAAAAAAAATATATAATGAATGTTCGCTTTTAATTAAATTACTTCAAATAACAACTTTGGTAAAATGTAATTATTTTACACTTTTTTTATGCTACTTAGAATGGCAAACAAGCTGACAACCTACCTGATGGAAAATGGTAACCATCGCCTACAGACATAAGCAGTACCAAGGACATAACAGAGTATAACTATTTCGCCCATGATACCTCCCATTAGTTGCCATTCCTGACAACTCAGGTGTTATTCCTACGTACCCTGTAAATTCACTGCCATATCCCACCCTTCAAACCAAAACACAGCCGTGCAAACACAATTGCTTCTCAGTAGAATCACGAACGGGACAGAGGTGGCCAAGCAAGAACTTGTTATTTGATTAAAAATATGTACATTAATATCACTGAAAGTGACCCCCACTCTCAAGAACTGTGACCCTCAGGTTTAGAAACATTACACAGATATTTATGTATAACTAATAAATCTATCGAGCAGAGAGTATTTAATCCTTATTGATGCATCCCAACATCCCACTTTACATATAGAACAACATTATTAATTCTCCATTCACAGATTTACACCATAAGCTGTGGGTATTGTTCACTCTAATATGTATAATAATATAATTTAACGTCTTTATGTATATCGTAGATCTATTATACTATTATATTACTACCTAGTGGAGCCTCTAGGATTCTAATTTTCAAGTGCAGTATTTTTCAGTCAGACAACAAAAATTTGCCGTGTGCGCCAAACGTGGCAATTACTGGCACCCCCTAATAGGATGAGTAAAAAAACATAATAAATGAAAAAGAAATTACAGGGTAAGTACAGAGACATAACATCTTAGTCCCCAAAAATAGCTACGCATGAGGGGTATCATGAGCGACACTGTATACTCTGTTTTTTTTTTTACTTTGTTTTCTGTCGCTACTTTGTTTTTTGCGACATCCTTCTAATCTGTGTTCTTACTTTAACTGTGTATAAAACTGAGGATTTTTTTTATTAATATATAAATTTAAGTATATATAAAATTAATATGTAAAAAGTTGTAAACTGTGTGTATAAGACTTTATCACGGTATACTCTGTTATGTCCATTGTACTGTTCATGTCTACAAGCGACGGTTATCACTTTCTATCAGGTGGTCCGTCAGCTTGTTTGCCGTTACTTGTAAGTAACATAAAAAAATACATTAGTAAAACCATGAAATACAGAGAGACCTCTTGTCGTCAAATTGACAAGCTCATTTCATTGATACAGACCCAGTTTT